ATTCAAACTATTTTGTCATATTTGGTGATAAGGACTATTTGTGGAAAAGTTTTTAAAAATTGAAGAGTGTTTATCAAATATATCTTATAATAGAGGACTAAATTTGAAAAACTACATATAATTATGGATCATTTATGAAATTTACTCTTTATTTTATTTAATTATTAACAAAAATACTTACACAAAATATTTTGAAAATCTTCTCAAAATATTTTGTCATATTTGGTGATAAGGACTAGCTATTGTGGAATAGTTTTCAAAAATTGAAGACTATTTATGAAATATCTTATAATTGAAGACTAAATATGAAAAACTACATATAATTAGAGATCATTTATGAAATTTACTCTTTATTTTATCCAATTATTTGAGCACGACATAGGCCGATCAAAAAAAATTGTTGTACGTATTATTTTTTACAGGAAAAATATCTGATTCAAGAAATTAGAAATTAATGAAGACTCGAACGACTAGCAATATCAACCGATCAAGAATGCGATGTACGAAGACTGAAGATATCACTCGGAGGTCTTATTTACTTTCTTAAGTTGATTCTCACAACTTAAAAAACTGGAGAACTTCTTGATGTGAAAATAATACGTGGCTCGGCCCACATTTCCCAATTATTATTTACGAAGAATAATTAAACCAGACTTGTTTAGTAAAATGAAGGAATAAGAGAATATTCTTCTGACGATGCTCCCCCTCCTTCCTATAAAAGAAAGGGTTTGCCCTCAAAATGGAGGAGACCAATTTTTACACTCTCCCCTACCGGCCACTTCCTTTCTCTCTCTAGAATTTTTGTAATTTATTTCTTCAAAGAAGCTTCAAGCTTCCATTAATGGCTTTCGAATCCAAATCATGTACCGTGTACAATCCTCCAATAATAATAATAATCCCCAGTTGGCAAGGTACCGCCAAAAAAAGCTTGTAGTTTTGTCCCGATTTTCGACGTCAAAATTCATGTGTTTATATTTTGGTGAATTTTTTAGACTACTTTATCATTTTTGCCCAGGTAAAAATGATATACTGGTCCATAATTAACACCATCAATGTCCATGTTAGTAATTTTTGTTTATTAGGAACTATTTTCGGAAAAAACCTTATTAGAAAGGACCATTTTGAAAAAAAATTCAAAATATTTTGTCATATCTCGTGATAAAGACTATTTGTGGAAAAGTTTTAAAAAATTGAAGAGTGTTTATGAAATATATATCTTATAATAGAGGACTAAATATTTTATCCAATCCTTTATATCCTTTATGAAATATATATATATATATATATATCCTTTATCCTTTATCCTTTATCCTTTATCCTTTATCCTTTATCCTTTATCCTTTATCCTTTATATATATAAAGGAGAGTCGGATATATATAAAGCAGAGTCGGAGCTATAAGAACGTGACATTTGGCAGAGCTAAAGCATGACATGTGGCGAGCTGATATGGTGACATTTGGCAAAGTTAAAGCGCGACATGTGGCGAGCTAATATGTCACCCTTTTAGACAAACCGATCGGTTTGACCGGTTAGACCCGTTTTTTTTTTGCAATTTTTTTCCAAAAGCATACCACTATGGGGTTTGAAACAAGGATCTCTTGGTCATTTAGTTGAGTTCCTAACCATCCAAGCTAGGGTGCTTTTTGTTACAATCTCACTTAAGCTTTTATAAATTTTCATAATTAGTATTTTATTTATTAGTATAAATTTTTTTTTGAAAATTTAATGATTTAACGAATTCGAGACATGTATTAAAATATTTGTACGTAGAGTTTTGAAAAAAATGATATTTTATTAAAAGTTATAATTTACACGGAAAATAATTTTAATTCTAAATTTGAATTTATGGGTTCAAAATAAGTAATTACTCCATATCATTTTTTAAAAAAGAGTAAAAAATGTAAAATAATGAAAGAGAATAAATTTGGTTAAATTGCCACCTAATATGTCAAATGTCAAGTTCCTAATGCGCCACATGTCAAGCTTTCAATATGCCAAATGTCATGTTCTTAGAGCTCCAAGTCTCATTTATATATATAAAGGATATCCTTTCCCAATTCAAAAATTTTTACTCTCTTCTTTTATAATAAAATTTCTAACCAATAGATAAGATGGTTTTTAACATCTAAATTAATTTGATACAAGTTTTTGTTTATGATATGTTAAAACGAAGTTAGTTTTGATTTGATTCATTGAAGTATTGATGTAAAATTTAAAATACACAATATATTTTAAAATTTACATCAAAAAATATATAGAATAAGAGATGACTAAACTATAATTATATTACAATAGAAAAAATACTATGCGTTATTTCATAGTTCGATTATATTGATTTTATGATTTGACTTTATTATATAAAATTTATGGTTTATAGTCCTTAGACTATTTATGATTTAAATTTAAAAATATAATATTCTTAGTCATCTCTTATGAATTATGATGTGATATTTTTAATTAAATTATAGTTAACAATTGATAAAAAATGTGTTACCAAGACATACTATATTTACACTAACATTCTTTATGATTTCAATTTTATTAAGCAAATTTAATTATGAAAAATAGATCATCACTTTCATTAGAATACATTTTTTTAAAATTTTATATTTTTCACAACATTTATAATAAAACTATTAATGAATAAATGAGATTTCCTTCCTTTAAAATAGATACTTTCATAATCTCTAAAAAAATCCTATTTTTATGACACACTTAAATGATTTTAGTTTTGATTTTATTTTTTGAAATATTGATATAAAATTTAAAAAAATTAAAAAAAATTTGATCTCTGCATTAAACTACTACAAACGACTAGCCTATTTTCAAAATGATCAAATATTTAAATCAAATAAATTAAAAAGGAGAAATTTTGTACTCAAATAAAAAGAAAAAACACAAAAAAAATTATAAAATATTTTTGTAAATTTCTACTCAAAATCATAGAATCACTAATATTTTTTCTATTAATTTTTTTAATTATTGCTAATGAATAGAATCATTGGATTTTATTATTATTTTTTATTTTATTTTTTGAATTATAGGATTGCTAATCTAAGATTTTGTTTTACTTATGCGAGGAGAGAAGAATCATTTCGATATTTTTTTAATCAATGCGAGAAAGGAAAATCATGATAATACGTGAGGGATGAATAATATTTATTTCGATATTCAAAATTAACGCAGTGACGCGAGATAAAAGAATCATATTCTTTGAATCATAACTAATGGAAGGAGAATAATAATAGAATCACCAATATATTTTTTAATTAAACTGTGGAAAGAAAAATACTCCGTAGTATTTTTTAATCAATATGAGGAAGGAGAATAATATTAATGCGGGGAGATTAATCAATTTTTTCGATAATCTAAACTAATATGGGGAGAATAATTTTTTGCCCATCAATGATGGTTGTATAATGGCTGCGTCAAAATTGATGGGGATGCTTTAACGAGGTTGGCTGATAGAGTGTCGGGGTTCATTTTATTGCTTGAAATTATCAAGAGACTTTAATGGTAGAGGATGTTTCAAACCAAGAGAAGTGTAGGTAATTTATGTATATGTGGCTTGAACCTTTATCAAAGACAAAGATTGGAGGCATATCTTTGTGGAAATAGATTGCAACAAAGTGGTTGATGCTCTTAATAATTCCACCAATATCATGATTTAGTGAGTGAGAGTAAAAGTCAGGTTGGAAGTATTAGTTATAGATGTTTTTGGTAGTCTTTTATAACATCACACAAAAATGTTATATATCTTAATTTTTCAAAATGTTCTAATTTAAATAAGAGTTTGACATGTTAATTTTCAAATATATATAGTATAAGTTTCATTAGCAAATAATATATTTCCTCTGTCCCACAAAACTTTTCTCCTTTCTTTTTTCATCCGTCTTAAAAAAATCTTTCTCAGTACTATAAAAAACTCACTTTTACCCTTACCAATTCTTAACCTGTTTATCACATCATATTTTTTCACTATTATCACATCATATTTTTTCACTATTACTTTTACTCATCACATTGAATGACATTTTTGAAAGATCAACATCAAAATAACTCATTTCAAAGTCAAAACGAAAAAAAATTTGTGAGGTGGATGAAGTATACTTTATCATTAGTCTAACTTTTAATGTTGATGTTTTATTTGGTATATACGATTTTTTAAAAATGTTGTAGCAAAGAAAAATTAAAAATCTATTCTACCCGTGCATGATACAGGTTAAAATACTAGTTATTAAGAGCATGTGCAATGGTGAGGCGTAAATAGAATGCCACACGATGACGTGGAACATTTCAACCAATCAAAAACAATCCAATCATCGTGTGGCAAATGAGTAGAGTAGTATGTTATGCAGTGACAAGTCATTGTTTTTTTTATCATTTTTACACTTTTTTTTATATATTTTAATTATTAATTTTTTTTAAATTTTTTCCCCAAAAAAATAGATGCACTTTTTCAAATAAATAATTCTTTCTTGTATTATTTTTTATGTTTTTGAAATAAAAACAAATAAATAAAAAACAAAAAAAGAGAGATTATGCCTTGCACATCATGGAGGAATGCTTCTCCCATGCGTGGCAATACCCACTTTCATCCTATGTGGCATGGCATGGCAGTCTTTAGACTCGCCATTGCCAATGCTCTAACAAAAATACATACACAAAAAGTTAGAAGAGTGTGTAACTACTAAGAGCATCTCCAATGGAGATGCTAAAAATGGGCAGCCATAAACATATTTTAGAACATGTACAGTGATTTGGATGTTCTTATTTTGGTATGTGCTCCAACCATAGCTGCTACTCTCCCTCTTCCATATAAATTTAATATGTTTTACTTTTTTATTTCTTTGCTTTGTGTGGATGTTAGCATTTCTCTCTTCTCTCAATTGGTTACCGTATTTAATTTTATTAATATTTTATTATAGCTGATAACTTTTGATCATTTATATATAGCATGTGTAAAGTAAAAAATAAATACTTCTCTATTTTTTGAAGGACCCTTTGGAGCCCATTATTAAGAATAGTGAAGTCTAAAATTTTTACTTTTTAAACTATGAAGGCTCCATTGGAGATGCTCTAAGGGGTTATATATAAAAAATGTCAAGAGTGGGATTTGAACCCACGCCCTTTCGGACCAGTACCTGAAACTGGCGCCTTAGACCGCTCGGCCATCTTGACTGGTTTGCTTGTTACTGCGTTTAGACGGTATTAATATTATATATTGTCATTACACTGCCCCTCCATACCAAATTCTTAGTCTTGTTTGAAACATATAAAATTTTTCTCTTTTAAAATTATTATTTTATTAAAAAATTGATAAAATAATAAAATGTACGGAGTATAACTTACATACTTAAAACTGATTTAAATTTCTACAAAACGAATAGGATATGACTAATTTATTTTATCAAATAGTAAATAAAAATATAGACTACTTAAACAAATATTGTAGACAACTCCTAATATTATAGCTCTGTTCATTTGAATTTCTAACTCTTAACATTAAACATTTTTCAATTTCTTCCCATTTTAATTTCTAACTAATTTATTCAAATTGGTCGTTTTTCGAGCGGCCGTAAATGGACGTTCCTGCTGCGTTTTGGACCTTTTAATGGCAGAGGCTCATGTGTTAAGAAAAGCGCACACTTGGCTAAAGGGGAGTGGTCTTCGTGTGGTTGTTCTTATCTCTGGTTATTCAAATTTAGTTACAGCCATTAATCGGGGGAGAGGTATAGTACTTCTTGTTCTTAATTAATACTCCCTCCTTCCCTAAATAAAATTTCTTTTTTGACTTTTTGAGAATTAAAGGGAGAGATATTTTTGTTTTGACTTTCCAAAAATATCCTTGATGTGATGTGTAAAAGTAAGATGTGATATGTAGATTATTACTCCCTCCGTCCCTAAATATTTGTCACACTTTCCTTTTCATCCATCCCAAAATATTCACCACACTTCTAATAATGTAAAGTAAATTGGTGTGTTAAGACTATTATATCCCTGCCTTTTCAAACTCCTTATCTTCAATCAGAATCCTTTCCTCTCATTCTCACCACACTCTTTCTTCTTCTCCATCTGATATCTCATTCTCACCACACTCTTGCTTCCCGAGAATCGCCGCCGTAGCGCCGCCAGAAGTGGCCGTCGACGCCTCTTGCGATGGATTCTGCGGCGGCGGAGTCCGGGAGTGCCGGATTTGCCAGGAAGAGGACGAGGAGAAGGACATGGAAGCTCCTTGCGCCTGTAACGGCACTCTCAAGGTCTTCTTCCTCCCGTCTCTTTTTTCTCTTCTAACATTTCGAATTTTTATTTAATTAATTATAAAAATTCGTTCAAATTCAAAAAAAAAATTGCAGTATTTTTGTATTCCGTATTTTTTCATGCTGGGATTTTGCATGAGTGGGGTCTGAACTGGAGAATTTAATGTCTGAGATTATACTTCCTCCCTATTTTTTCAATTTATGAATCTGGAAGATTATGTGGTCTCCAGATTTTTTATGTTTTCCTCTTTTCATAAAATTTAGTTTCATAATTAAAATGGAACGGGGTATTTTTAAATATGAATTTTAAAAAGTAAAAAAAAGGCATGTTGACAATATTGATGCCATATATTCTAGAATATTTAGACAATTTGTTGTAACTTTTTTTTATTTTAAAATTATTACTCATAGGGTTTTCTGTTTTTTTTCTTTGCTTTTATTTTTTAAAAAAATTGATGATGATGTCTGCGTATTTAATGCTGAAACAGTCAACCTACTTTGGAAGATTAAGTACTCCATTTCTATCCCTTTTTGGTTTGTACAGGCTTGCTTTGGGACGGGTGGGTGGGGTAAATTTGGGGAAAAAAATGCTTTTTAACTACTCCCTAAAATTGTGTTCAAGTCAACGTGTGGTGAATAAATAGGGACGGAGGGAGTAGTAAAAAGGTATGATGTGATAGGTAGGGTATGAAAAAGTAAGGGGTAAAAGGGGTTTTTTAAGGAAAAAGAGAAGTTTATTTGAGGACAAAGAAAAAACGAAAAGGGAAGTTTATTTAGGGACGGAGGGAGTATAATATTACTTTGGTGCTGCACTGCTGCTATGGAAGACTGCTTAGATCTTATGCCTTGTTTTATTAAGTCCGGTTTGGTACACGGGATTCAAACTATGAAATTGGAATTGAGCACTTCAATTCCAATTTTGGTGTTTGGTAGCACAAAAATTATGTAAATTTTGAATTGACAGTGCAAAAAATGAATTGGAATTGATGAATTCAATTCCATGGAATTTCAATTCCAATTCAATTTCAATTATATCAATTCCGTATACCGAACGGACCCTTAATGTTTTTGTTTTGTTTATTCCTTGTACTGGTAATGTTTTTAGTTCACATATTGCGTCGTCGTGCTGAGGCACTGTTGGGATCATGGGAGCTTTCTCCTCTGATTTTGTATGTCCTTTACGTTACGGCAGGGTCGGCCCATTAGGGACAGGCAGCCCGTCCAGACCAGGCCCATCATTCTTTATTTGATTGAAACGAATTGATATGAATTGATTGAATGAATTGTTATGAATCTATGATATATAATTCGTTTTTTTTAGAAATTTAAAGTTTGTATTTGATTTTACTAAGTATTAGAACTTATGAATTTGTATTTGATTTTAGAAATAATTCAATATAGGGGTCCTAAACATCTATCCGGTAGTCAAAAACATAAAAAAGAGAACGAATGAAGAAATAAGAAAGTTTCAAGTCGGAGCTCTATAAACTTGTAAGCTTATAAAACTTCTAGGACTTTATTTCGTCTCGGCCCAAGTCGTTGAATTCTAAGGACCGACCTTGTTATGGGGTGTCATCAATACCATAGTACCATCCCCACCCTCCTCACTATCAACTCAGTGTCATATCAACCTTCTTCATTTAATCTCCATTTAAGGATGTGGGACCTCATTTCATCCTTATTCTTTTTTAAATTTTTTTAATATTATATTTATTATATCGGTTTACATCATTTGTCATAATATGACAACAAGACCTACAATGCTCCATCCGAAAAATTGATTATTCCTCCCCCCCTAAACCCCTTGTCCCTTCCCTGCTGATGGCTGGAGGGTTGATTGGGTGGGGGCAGGGAGGGTTTAGAAGGGGCTATGAGTAGGAAATCATCAATTTTTTAACAAAGCACTATAGAGCTTGTTGTCATATTATGACAACAAATGTTGTTGTCAAAAAAATGAAATTAGCAATTAAATATAAATATTAAAAAAATTGGATCTAAAATAGAAAAATTCAAAACTAAGAATAAGAACTAGATCTGAAATAAAATGAAAGAAAAAGAAGGAAAAAAGAAGAAGAAGAAGCTGGTCCGCGAGATACGAGAAGAAGAAGAAGGCTTGCAAAAAAATGGAGAAGAAGAAGAAAAGAAGAAGAGGAGGAAGACGAAAAAGGAGAAAAGGAAAAAAGTAAAATTTGATCGGCGTCTGGATGCCCATCAGACCAAATCCCGATCGAGAGAGCGGGGGAGGGGGTTGGTGTTTCTCGTCGGGCCGACTTCTACATAGGACATCAAACACCCACACCTAGACCTGTGAAAAAATGACCCGACCTATTTTTTATCCAAAACCTAACCTGAAAACAATGGGTTTTGAACAAAGGTTTTGATGACCGAACTCGAAGTTGAGCGGACCTGAAATGACCCGCTAAAAATGGGTCAAACCTGACCGAGCCCAAACCTGACCCGGCTGCCCCGCTAAAGTAAGAGTTTTTTAAAATCATACACTTTACTACTCGTTTCTGGTCCATTTTTTTAAAACATAAGCATTTTTTAAACAAAATTTTAATGATATTGCAAAATTATCTTACATACTTAAAACTGATTTAAATTTCTACAAAACGAATATGATATGACTAATTTATTTTATCAAATAGTAAATAAAAATATTTACTATTGGGGGTTTAGAGGCTCCCAAAGAATATTGAAAAAAGAGCCCCGAGAAAAGCCCTCTTCTCAGAGGCAACAAATCCCCGAGAAAAGTCCTCCTTTAAGAGGCACCAAGTCCTCTTCCAAAGAGGCACAAAGTCCCAAGAAAGTCCTCTTTTAAGAGGCCCAAATCCCCGAGAAAAGTCATCTTCTAAGAGGCACCAAGTCCTCTTCCCGAGGCACTGAAGAGAAAGAAAAACCCTCTTTCAAAGAGGCACAAAGTCTCGAGAAAGTCCTCTTCCAAAGAGGCACAAAGTCCCGAGAAAGTTCTCTTCCAAAGAGGCACAAAGTCCCGAAAAAGTCTTCTTCTAAAGAGGCACTAAGACTCGAGAAAGTCCTCCTCCAAGAGGCACTACGCCCCAAGCAAGTCCTCTTCCAAGAGGCACTAAGCCCCGAGAAAGTCTTCTTCCAAAGAGGCACAAATCCCTGAGAAAAGCCCTCTTCCAAGAGGCACAAACCACCGAGAAAATCCTCTTCCGAGAGGCACCAATTTAAATCCTTACCCACGAGGAAACGAGACCCTCCTTAAAAGAAAGTCCTCTTCCCGAGGCACTGAGGAAAATTCTATCCCGCGAGGTAACCCACTGAGTAATATAGTTCTGAATTTGTCTCGTTCTCCGAGACAGACTCAAAACTAGGGGGCATGTGATGGATTAGGGATTTTACCTCATCCAATATTATTTGAACAGTACAAGTAAGCCTAATTCAGTCTGGTCCAAGACACAAACCAGACAAATTATTCAAGACGGAGCCAGAGATATAAGACGAAGAAGATAATTTGAAGTGATATGTAAATATTGAATGGGACCCGTGATAAACATACCCACATGAGACCCATGTGAGTATCACATAAAGGAGGGACCCGATGTGATATGCTAACTTTCCTTTAAATGGGAGGTCATTCCCAAGAGAGGGGGGCCAATTATTCTACTACGAGGCTACATACTCAAGAGGCCAAGGCCAGATTCCTACAACATCTCCTATTACTATTCTTCATTCTTCTTCTTCTTTAAGCTTGGAGCTCCATTAATGGCTCCAAGCTCCTACAATGATGTATATGTAAATTCCTCCGAGATTAATAAAAGTTCATCCCCCTTTGGCATGGCACCGCCTAAAAAGGCCCATGGTTTTCTCCCGATTTGGGTTTCCACGTAAAAATACTTTCTCTCTGCTTTATTTATTTATTTATTTTCCGGATTTTGCTATTCGTGCGGTGCCGACCCGGTACCGAGTTCGTCGGGTCGACGCCCCGAAAAAGCGGTTTCCATATATATATATATATATATATATATATATATATATATATATATATATATATATATATATATATATATATATATATATATATATATATATATATATATATATATATATATATATATATATATATATATATATATATATATATATTAAATTTTTTAAAATTGTTTGAACCATTGGTTCAACCATTCGAACCACTGGTTCCACCAGTGAACGATCGATTCGATCCCCATTTCGGCTCTGAAAACTATGATAATACAAATTAAAGTACGTGTAACGATAAAAGATAAATGTAAAGATGAACAAACAATACTAAAATCAAACGGACAGTATTTTATTACACACTATAGTTATATTACACAAATTAGGAAAGAACTTTCCCAATATACATTGGATTTGGAACGTTTAGCAAAGGTATAGGAAGAATATCGATCAATAATGTCCTCAAAAACAAGCCTCACACAAACAGCAACAGCAAAGGGCAGCAAAACTGCATTCAACAAACACCAAGATTATATATTTCATTAGTACTTCATAATCATAACCCCTTCTATAAATATTATTCGCGATTCAATTTTTTTGAATGGTGTGGACTTTTCTTATCTTTTCAATTTAGAAAGAAAAATTGTCCGATAGGATTCATAATGTATCTCTCATTTTACTTAATTATAACCACACTTTCATGGACTCAATTTGATCTAATATTAAGGTTAGAGTATGATTTTAACATTTTGAAAAAAACTTTTGAGATGTAATTTTTATCCTTAGTATTTTATTCAAGCTCGTCGTACTATTTAAAAACATTCAAAACTCGAATAATATTTGAAAAGAACGATTTTAGAGTATTTGCGAAGAACGATTCGGTTCAATGGTCACTCAAATTTTAGAGTATTTGCTCAAATTTTCATTACTCCCTGTAATTTATTATTTTGACCTTTATATACACTACCTATTCGATCAATTCAAAGGTGGACCCGGGGACTCATATAGAGTTTACTGGGTCCTTGAACGAACTTCACAGACCTTGAATTATATAGTTAGGGTCCCTTTGCTAATAATTTTACTGTTTAGCGTTCGTGTTTTAAAATAGTGTCTATTTAGCTTTTGCATTTTTAAAATTAACTTACCTCGTTAAAAATTTAAAAATTTGCATTAAATAGGACTAAAACATAAGTCATCTCTCAATGTAAGATTTGAACTTTTTTATTCCCTAAATAACACATAATAATGTCTAGTATGAGAAATAATATACAGTGATGGTGGACATTTACGTAAATAATAACTAATGGATAATGACCAATAGTCCTAAATTGAGAAATAAAAACATATGATTCTATATTCAGAAAGTCATTACGTTTTAGTCCTATTTAGGTAAATTCACCTTAAAAAATTATCCAAAACACAAACCAAAAACAATGTTTCCAAACAATACAACAATAGGTACTCCTTCATTTCCATATCGATTGAATTGACCATTTTTTAAACTTATGATATATTGAAAAAAGATTGAATGTAGATACACTTTATATCTATATTCATTCATTTTTCAATTAATCATGTAGAAAATTAATAATGGAGAATAATTCTATATTGAATTCTCTTGCTGAATACAAAGAAGCAACCATCTTTATATAACAAGAGGGTAGAGCAAATAAGTAAAGTTCTATTCCTATCATAATTCTGTTTCTAGTATAACAAGAATAGGAAAACTATCAAACTCTAAAACATTTTCTAACACTCCACCTCAAGTTGAGGATGAGGATCACTAATGAACAACTTGAACAATAAAACTAGAAAAAAACAACAATAAATAACTTGGACAATGTCTGGCAGAATCGCAGATCACGAACGGAGGATGGACGGGACTTCTTTCGACAGACGAACGGATCTAACGGACAATGACTTTGAAGTGATGAACGAAGACGGGCCTGATAGACTGTGTGGCCGAATTGCGGATCACGAACGACGGACTTTTATCGACAGACAAACGGATATGACGGGCAACGATGTCGGACTGATGAACGAAGACGGACGTGATAGACTGTCTAGCCGAGTTACGGATCAGGAACGGCGGACGGGATTAAGTGGTAGGGCATGCAATTAATTCGTGTTGGTTTTTATCTTTTTTAAAAACAACATTGTCTCTCTTTTCTTTTAAATATATACAGTATTTTTTTGTCATCATATATGTAGTATGAATATGTATCTTTTGGACTCTTGGAAGTTTGCATGATATGAGTTTTAAAATCTGAAAGAGTCGTTTGAAGAGATATAAAACCATGATTTAACTAGTAGTGATAGGTGGGGGTGGCCGGCAATGGGATATATGGTTGGCGGTGACAATGGTAGGCGGCGGCGGGAAATGATCAACGATTTAGAAAGATATTAAACACTTTGAAACCCTTAATTTGGAGAATTTATGATATCAGAATGAAGATATCAATTTTGATCTCTTTTAGGTCACCAAATACCAAAAAAGTTCCAATATTTGAAGATATCAAAACTCATATTTTTATACTCACCAAAGATACCCAATGTTGAGGCCTTGATTTTAAAGAAGTGTCTTTTTTAAATAGGAAGAGTTTTATGAGACGAAAGGAGTAGTGTTTTATAATTTTTTTACGGAGCATGTATATATTAAAAATTGACATAACTCTATATATTCCTGGAATCCTGGGTGGTGAAGGATAGATTAATCACCATATGGGGTAATAATGTAGATGATTAATGACAAATTTTACTATGGACCTAAGGTTCACTATGAATCTTTATATGAGAAAAATAAGCATTTTTTATTATGAAATTTGCACTAAATAGGACTAAAACATAATGACTTTCCTAATCTAGGACTTAAACTTTTTTATTCCTTAAATAGGACTTAATAATGTCTTCGTGGAAGGAATAATGCTCAGCAATGATGAACATTTACTTGAATAATGACTAATTAATAATGACCAAAGGTCCTACATGGAGAAATAAAAACATATGGTCCTATTTGGAGAAAGTCGTTATGTTTTAGTCCTATTTAGATAAATTACTCTTTTTTATTATGTACATAAGCATTTATTTTTTTAAATAAAAAATAAAAGAAAATTATTATGTAAAAAAGTCCTTAAAAATGATATGCACCAAGATGTACCAAAAAAACACTCTTGATTGATATGTCTGATAATAATTAATGGGGATAAAACTACCTTGTAATAGAAAGTGTAAGTATTTTGTAGTTAGAGAAATTCTTTAACAAAACGGAAGGAGTAAAATGTTACAGGTATTGAAAGCCTGAAATATCAAAAATTCAAAATATAGGGATGGAGTATAAATTCGTAAGAGAACAAAAGGGAGAGAACGAACTAACCATCCTTTCCAGAAACCATCCCCTCTTGCCTGGGTGGTGGTGGTGGCCGTAGCCGGCGCCTGGCTCTGGTTCCCGTCTTTCATCGGATAACCAACTGGAGGCGGCCGAACCATGTAACTACCCCGCGGTTCTGACGGATACCCGGTGGCTGGTGGCGGATACACTGATTCAAATAATTATAAAAAAACGAGTAATTTATAGCCTACCTACTAATCCCTACTAGCTAGCTATATACTCAAAAATTGTATTGAAGAGACCAGATCGAACTTCATATACCTTTGTTCTCGGCGTAGTTGCTCATGTCGATGTGCGTTTATAGCTAGCGTAATTACGCAATTAATTTTAGGCTGTGGATTATTTTAAGTAGATGATTAATTGTATTTCGAATACGAAGAATAGGTGCAACCAACTATGTCCATATGTGTGTGTTTTATACACGTCTGTAACACATGCATGTAGAGGTGGGCGACGCGGGATTGGGGTTAAAGCATACTTTGACAGTTTGACCTTATCTAAAAGAGGGCAGTTTGGTTTTTTTTATAGTTATAGTAGATACATCAAAAATAGGGTTACGCGTGCGTGATTGATCCTAACATTTTAATCCTAAAGTTTAATTCGAGTGTTACAGGTGTTACACGCAAGGTATCTGTATTATCTACTCCCTCCATCCCTAAATAAACTTCCATTTTTAACTTTTTAATAATTTAAGGGAGGGATATTTTTGTGTTGACTTTCCAAAAATGCCCTTGATGTGATGTGTAAAAGTAAGATGTGATATGTATATTATTAGTAAAAAGGTATGATGTGATATGTAGGGTATGAAAAAGTAAGGAGTAAAAGGGATTTTTTAAAGGAAAAAGAGAAGTTTATTTGGGGACAAAGAAAAAACGAAAGAGAAAGTTTTTTTAGGGACGGAGGGAGTATAAGACTGGGTTAAACCTTGAGATTCAAATATTGGGGTTAAAGTAGCATTTTCTTTAAAGTATCTACATTAAATTGGTATTGAATACTAATTGAAGAAAATAACTTTTTTTCAAAATTTCTAGAGATAAATCTAATCAATTACCCCCTTCTTCCTAAAAGGATCTTTCCAATTATTATTTACATGATCAAACTTTAACCCCTTTCTTTACTTATTTTTGCTAGTTATTTGATAAGATAATAGTCATGTCATCTTTTGTTTTCTAGAACTTTGATATCGTTTTAAAATATTTAATTTTTATTATTTTAATTTTACACTTATAATTGAATAAATTGTACTCCGGTATTGAAAAACAATTTCAGTGAAATCTCATAAATCGATCTTGGATGACAATTTTAAGACAGAGGAAGTGATCTTTTAGTAGTTGTGTTTCAATGATTCTAAAGTCAAGTCTTATGTGAAATGTGAAATGTTGTGCTCCTCACAATTTAGTAAACCCACCACATTGGGTCTTTTATTTTTTAAAAGAGTAATTCATGAATCACTGGTTTTAATTGAGTTCGTTTCTTTGACCATTGTTACGTCGGGAGGAAGAAAACGGACATGGCGGCGAGGACGCCCCGCGTTGTCGAGAAGGTCGGTTATATCCAGAGAATTGAATTCAACAACGGCGGCAAGTTCAATCCACTGAATAAACATAATGCTTTGTGGTGGGCTAAATGTTCAATTAATTTGCAGTACAGTACAGTTGAAGGGTTCCACCAAATGCATAAATTGCAGTCGGTGAGAGCGGTTGATTTGTTTCCATTTGTGTGTGCTTTGGAATTGGATTCTCAGTACGTGGCATGCACTGTGAAGGTTCTCATTCTTTAAAATGTGGCCCATGCCTTTCCAATCACGTGGTTGATAGTTGTCCTATCATAAAGAGCCGTGTTTGGACAGTTTTTAGCAGTAAGGGTTAACAAAATGAGATTGGCGTAACAGAACGTCACTAAATTCATTATTTGTCAATTTCTTTTATTCTTCTTTCAATGATAATTTTCAATGATAATGTTATTGAATTCTTTAAAAAGTTCAAAAATATCACATAAGTATGACTCCATCCTTCTCTAAATATTCACCACATTTCGTACAACGTGTAAAGTATCATCTCTTTTAAAATCATTTTATTATATATTGGGAGACAAATAAAAAATATAAATTATCATGTTCAAAAGTACATCAAAAATTATATAAAACAAGATTCGACAACAATATTTTATACTAGTATTATCAAATGGTTACCGAAAACGAATAAACAAACAAAAGTTGTCTCGAAGTCGATATAATAACAGTGGGTCTCTGACAATTTTTTTCGGACGGAGGGAATATCTTTTGTCGAAAATGATATTATCTATTTTTTTCTTTTAATGATGTTATATATTGAACTCTCTTAAATTTTACTCCGTAAAAAATATCACTCAAATATTTTTTTAAATAGTCATAATGTTTTTAAATAAGTATTCCCTCCTTCGCTGAGTATTTGTCAACTTTTGACTTTTTTTGGTCAAAATTGGTAAACTTTGACCTGAAATTAAATAAAAATGACATTAAATATTGATACAAAAATAGTTTTATTAGGTGTATTATATCAAATATTTTCAAAATATTATTTTATCTAATTAATAAATAATATATATTTTATTTAATCATAGATCAATGGTTGAAAATAATTGACCAAAAAAAGTCAAAAGTGAACAAATACTCAGGGATGGAGGTAGTAATTTTTTCCCTTTCCTTTAATTCTATACACATTCTAAATTTTTCTTATTTTTTGTATGTTTCAATAGTGCATCTAGGTCCACAAAAATTAATTGTTTTGAAGCATATGTTTCAATAGTAATACTTCTTCTGTCTCAAATTATTTTTTTTGGACTTGGTTTGGCATAAATGTCAAAAAAAGTCAAATTTGGTGATAAAAAATGATGTAAAGGAAAGTGAATGGGGTAGTTTGGTACAGAGAGAGTACAAGATATTTTGTCATGAAGCTTGTTTGAGACATCTCGAATAAGAAAACTTGAAGGTTTGTTTGGGACAAGGGAGTATAAGATATTTTGTCATTTTTTCATTAACAAAAATAATATCTTGAGTATTTAAAAAAATACCTTTACTTCAAAAAAGTGTTCTTACTTTGTTTATTATCTTTCTAAAGACACTACCACAAAAAAGTCAAATTGACTACCTCATTTTCATCGGTTTTAGAGAAAATCGATGCAAATGGGGTTTTCGATTACGCCAACTATTAGCAATTAAATCAAAAACTAGTAATAACCGATTCAATAGGCTACTGAATCGGTTAGAACTAATAACCGATTCAATTGCTTGTTCGCCAACTGGTACCAATTGAATCAGTTATTAGTAATAACCGATTCAATAGCCTATTGAATCGATTATTACTAATAACCGATTCAAAAGGATGGACTAAAAACAATCACACGAAGCCTATCTTTCTTACGTGATCTATTTTTCCTTCAGCACCGCCATCGTCGCTCCTTCGCCGTCGCCACCAAGGGTTTGCCGTCACCACACCGTCGCTTCGCCATCCTCCACCCCCGCCATCCCCACTGTCGCTTTGCTGTGTTGTCTTCTTCCTTCATACTTCATCCGTCGTTAGTGTTGCATGTGAAAATCGGCTGCTTTCACGTCGCCACCTTCCCGCCATCACCCTCCCGTCCTCGACGGTGCTCTACCACCACCGCCACCGCAGACGCCATCTTCGCCCATTCTAAGGTATTTTTTAATTTTCCAGTTTAAATCTTATTGTATTCGTCGAATACATGAGGCTATATCATATTTTATATTAATTTTTTTTCTTTAAATCCTAAATATAATTCTAATTGTTTGTATATTCTTGTATTAATAGAACATGTGATGCTACATTGTTTATTTATCATTTATTTACTTGTTCGATGCTAATCAGAACATACATTGTAAAATAAATCTTCTCAATAGCCCTTTTTCTTTGTCCACAATAAATCTTCTCATTTCATTTTTTAACAATTAAAATACCACAACTACCCCCACTCGGGCCAATTTTTGGAAATTTCATTTTTAGCCACCAAACTTCAATTAAACTATATAGAAATATTCTCCAATGTTCATAGATCATTTTAGTATCATTAGTTCGTAGTTTTAACAACAATTTCAAGGTTTATGATTCTTGGTTCTTCAAACATGTCAAACACAAAACTCAACCAAACGACCGTTTATGAACGTAGAAATAATATATATGAACATTGTAATCACTAGATATATCTAAGGGCTTACATCGGGCTTAAACAAAGGTTTTGGAAATTTTCTGGCAAAACTTCGGCGAAGTTTGTGGCTAGCTCCGGCAACCTCTTACCAAATTGACAAGAGGAGTTGAGGTTACTCCTTATATAGCTTGAAAAAGGGGATGAAACCAAACATTTTCATATAGTTATGTGTCATTGAGGCGATCTTGAATCAAGTAGTGGAGCAGACGGCAATATTGGAGATATACAAACGATTCTCCTTGATTGGGCTAATTTTGGTCCCAATTGGGATACATTTTTTGGCCTAACTTTCTCCGAATTGGGATACATTTGTAATACTTTTTCCAACATCATATTTTTGGGGGTTTGAGTTTGATAGAGTCAAAATTTATTTAATTGACCTTTATTCAAAAAGATTCTCATAATTAATTCATATTATTTATTCTCATGATTTATTTCAATAAATAATTTCAAAGTTCATATCAAATTCTTTATTTGGGTTTGTACTCCGGTTCTGAATCAAGATCACACAAATAGTCAGCATATTAGATTTATTTCTATGAGATTTATCCAGATAGTGATATTCGATATCAAAACATATTTCATTCCGGTTCAAAGCCCAATAATTTATTTTAATCAAAAAAATTTCTTTAATTGAATAATACTTCAATAATAATTTTAGAGTATATTTTGGGGTATTTTAGGATATATTTCTTTAATTGTGTCTAAAATTCTGTTTCAACATGCTAGACTTTAGGTCTCATTCCTAGATCTATTAGCTTGATGGAGTTGTCTTTTTCATCTTGCCTGTGTAGAGTGATGAATGGCTGTCCAATCTTCACTTTACAATTCAAATGATAAATCATAGCTTAATAATGCATGTCTATGTTGATTCTTGCTAGGCTAATCCTAAAAGTCATCAATATAGAGATAGGTTTTATTGTAGTGTTCATCACTAAATAAAATGGAAAATGCTAAAAAGCCCCACCCTTGTTACCACCCATGCTCCCTCTACATAAACATGTGGTAGGGAGGCAAGAAAATTAAAATTAGAGCGTGAGTGGAGAATGGGTAGAGATAAATATGTGGTGGAGAAATGGGTGGAGGCAATGTTGGTAGCAAGGGTGGGGGGTGTGTAACATGGTCCAAATAAAATTACCTCTTGATTTGAAGTTGCAACCACTTGCTGAGAGTGTTGTTATTTCAAATTTGTTTAGTAATAGGTCTAGACTGAAAATCAAGTTTTTATTTACTCTGTCTGATTGAGTTCCAAACCTGCGAAACAAGTGTTTTCTAGAAATCAACTGAGTTCTCTCTCTCTACCTGCTTGTTCTATATGCCCTGTATTTCTATGTTCCCTTTTGAGCTTTTGATCAAGTACATTTTAGGTTTATTTTAGCAGCTAGAGTAGGACTTTCTGAACAAAACCCCTGGAGTGTGTGTGTTTGTTTGCAGAGCTTTACAGTTGACAAAATTGAAGACAAATCTCCCCGAGGAAAAGACCCTACTTACCACTTTGCTACCATTTCCATAAGTGTCTAGATCTTGAGAAATAGGTTAATTTGTTGTCACCTGACTAGTGACTAACAAATTTTGGGCGCTGTTGCTGGGGAGATTTGTTCTCTTCTGTTCTCTCTACTTGTTAAGTAGCTGAAATTTGAAGTTTTATGTTCCCTACCTTGTTTGCTTGAAACTGTTCCCTTCTAAAAGTTAAGTTTTTTTACTGACATTTGTTTAAGTTTGATGTGTTGTCTGTTGATTGATGCATTTGAGAAGTGAGTTTGACACAGCTAAGCTAAGTGTTAATGAAAATAATGAAGCTCAGGTAAGTGCTTCTGGACCTGATTCTTTTTTCTGATTCCTCAATTATTTTTGAAAGTGTGTGTTCCTAATCTGATTCTTTATTGTCTTTGTATTTTAATAATCTGCATCATATAACATGGAAACTTTAAGAGTAGTTGCACCTGATCTTCAGACACAGCCCATGTCCATCACATAGGCGGACCATTAAAATTGAACTCTAGATCCTTAATATGCTCCCCAAGTTTCATGGTCTGTCAGGGGAATATCCTTATAGACACATAAATGAATTTCTCATTACCTGTGCTACCAAGTGTAAGAGGGGCCAATAAAACTCACATCAAGGAGATTGCAGTTATTGAAATTGTCACACCCTCAATGTTGGGGAGCTTAGGTCCCTTGTGATGAAGGATGTCAGGCACTGTATTAAAGTC